ATAAACTTATTCTTCTCCTTCATTTCCCTCCTCCAAGCCCATTTGTGTCAGTAGTTAATCAAAACAACTTTTATTTTGTTATCCCTCTGTGGTGATTACACTGAGGGTAGTGACTACTTAATCACAGTTGTAAATTTGCCATTGCTTTTTACAATTGTCTTGATGATGCATCTCTTTGTTCTTGTTGATATATTTAAAAAAAAGCATATCAAAAGCTGCTTTAAGCTTGGCTTTTCCTCCCATGAATCCATGAAATTTGTGACTTTTTAAATGACCAACTTTTGTATTCAAAAGGAATGCTTAGCTTTGCTGAGAAGTTGATCTGGAGAAGTCTTTAAATGCTTAATTTTAGTATGTCATAATCTAGTTCCTTTTGTCATTTCTCATTCTTGAAGAAACATATTTTCAACCATTTGAATTCATGTCTTTTGATATCTCATGTTTTTCTTTTTGACTTGATTGTAAAATCATTTCCTTGTCATTTTGGACTTGAAGCTTGACAAGAAAGTGCCTAGCTGAGTGGAATTCATAACCCATCCTTGTTTCATTTTCATTTGAATTCTGTTGATTTGCAATATGTCCTCTTTCAATATTTCTGTAAATTTTTTTATGTGGTTTTAGGAAATATTGTATCATGATTCTTTTCTTTTTGACAATTTCTGGGAAATCTTAACAGCTCTCTCCTTGTACTCTTCTAGATTTTCTTGTCTTTGCCTGCTTAAATTCCAAGTTCTTTTCTAGTTGTGCAATTTTACAGATGTTTTTCTGTTTCCTCTGTTGTTACTTCGACCACTTTTTCCTCTTGTGCAAAACAAACTGGTTTTCATTGAATCTCTGGTTTGTTTTTGTATTTTTCTACAGATAACTCTAAACTGTTAGGTTTCATACCATCTCTTATCATAACACCAATAAGGAATAGTCAGGACTTGAGCCAGGTCTTGTGATTCCTTATTTTGGGATTTTCCTGTACTTTTTCCTCAGGTGAATAGTTTCCTCAGTAAGTGCTTATTAAAATAGAAAAAAAATTGCATTGAAATGAATTAATTTCATCTAGTTTAAATGAGGGGCAGTGTGGCGTAATGGATAGAGCACTGGTCTTGGGGTCAGGAAGACCTGGATTTAAGTATCACCTCTGTCATACACTGGCTTTATGATCCTGGGCAAGGCACTTAACCTAGAGAGGTTCCAAGCACCTCTCTAAAACTATAAGTTATGTAGCAGATACAAATTTGCAGTGGAGAAAGTTTCTCACCTGGAACTAATTTTATTTTATTTTTAATATAAATTTATTTGTAGTTTTCAACATTCATTTCCACAAGTTTTTGAGTTCCAAATTTTCACCCTGTTTGTTTTGCCCCTCCGCCACCCCAAGATAGCATGCATTCTGAATACCCCTTCCCCTAGTCTGTCCTCTTTTCTTTCTCTCCCCCCTTCTCTTATCTCCTTCCCCTTTATTTTCCTGTAGGGCAGGATAGACTTCTGTACCCCATTTCCTGTATTTCTTATTTCCCAGTTGCATGTGAAAACATTTTTTTAAACATATGTTTTTAAAACTTTAGGTTTCAAATTTTCTCTCTTCCTCCCTCCCCACCCACCCTCATTGAAAAGGCAAGCAACTCAATATAGGTTGTACATGTGCAATTATGCAAAACACTTCCATAGTAGACATGTTGTGAAAAACTAACTCTATTTCCCTTAATCCTATTTTGCCCTCCCATTTATTCTATTCTTTCTTTTGACCCTGTCCCTCCTCAGAAGCATTTACTTCTGATTACCCCTTTTCCCAATCTGCTCTCCTCTCTATCATCCTCCTGCTCTCTTGTCCCCTTCCTTTCCTATGTTCCTGTAGGGTAAGACAGATTTCCATATCCAATTGAATGTGTATGTTATTCCCTCCTTAAGCCAAATCCTATGAGAATAAGATTCACTCATTCCCTCTCACCTTCCCCTGTTTCCCCTCCACTGTAAGACTTTTCTTTCTGTTTTGTGAGATAATTTACCCCATTCTACCTCTCCCTTTCTTCTGAGTATAATCCTCTCTCATCCCTTAATTTTATTCTCCAGATATGACCCCTTAATCTTCAACTCACCCTGTGCCCTCTATCTATCTATCTATCTATCTATCATATATACATACATATAATTTTTTCCTCCAACTACCCTAATACTGACAAAGGTCTCATGAGTTATAAATATCATCTTTCCATGCAGGAATGTAAACAGTTCAATCTTAATAAGTCTCTTATGATTTCTCTTTCCTGACCTCTTCATGTTCCACTGGAGTCCTGCATTTGAAAGTCAAATTTTCTATTCAGCTCTGGTCTTTTCATCAGGAATGCTTGAAAGTCCTCTATTTCACTGAATGACCATTTTTTCCCCTGAAGGATTATACTCAGTTTTGCTGGGTAGGTGATTCTTGGTTGTAATCCTATCTCCTTTGCCCTCAGAATATTATATTCCATGCCCTGCGGTCCTTTAATGTAGAAGCTGCTAAATCTTGTGTTATCCTGATTGTGTTTCCACAGTACTTGAATTGTTTCCTTCTGGCAGCTTGTAATATTTTCTCCTTGACCTGGGAACTCTGGAATTTGGCTACAATATTCCTAGGAGTTTTCCTTTGGGGATCTCTTTCAGGAGGAGATCTGTGGATTCTTTCAATTTCTATTTTGCCCTCTGGTTCTACTATATCAGGGCAGTTTTCCTTGATAATTTCTTGAAAGATGATGTCTAGGCTCTTTTTTTGATCATGGCTTTCAGATAGTCCAATAATTTTTAAATTCTCTCTCCTGGATCTATTTTCCAGGTCAGTTGTTTTTCCAATGAGATATTTCACATTGTTTTCTAATTTTTCATTCTTTTGGATTTGTTTTACAGTGTCTTGATTTCTCATAAAGTCACTAGCTTCCAATTGCTCTATTCTAATTTTTAAGGAAGTATTTTCTTCAGTAATCTTTTGGACTTCCTTTTCCATTTGGCCAATTTTCTTTTTAGGGCATTTTCTCCTCATTGGCTTTTTGGACCTCTTTTGCCATTTGGGTTAGGCTATTTTTTAAGGTGTTATTTTCTTCAGTATTTTTTTGGGTCTCCTTTAGCAAGCTGTTGACTTGTTTTTCATGATTTTCTTGCATCACTCTCATTTCTCTTCCCAGTTTTTCCTCTACTTCCCTTACTTGCTTCTCAAAATCCCTTTTGAGCTCTTCCAAGGCCTGGGACTGATTCATATTTTTCTTGGAGGCTTTGGATGTAGGAGCTTTGACTTTGTTGTCTTCTTCTGGTTGTATATTTTGATCTTCTTTTTCACCAAAGTAAGATAATATAGTCTGACTCTTTTTGCACTGCTTGCTCATGATCCCGGCCAATTACTTGAGTTTTAAACTCTTTGTTAAGGTAAGAGTCTGCTTCCAATGTGGAGAATGTATTGTCCCAAGCTTCAGGAGTTTGTACAGCTGTTTTCAGTGATACTTGTAGGGACCTGTAAATTTTCAGTTCTTCCAAGGTGGTATGATAAGGGTTGAGGTGTTTACTCCTTTCCTGGCCTGTGACCACAAGTATTCCTTTCTGTCCTATAACTGTAAGGAGGGGTTCCTCTCCACAGCCACTACAAGCTCCATCATGCCAGCATTCCTTCTCACCCCAGCACCGCAGCCCAGAACTGTGACCCAGATCCAAACAAGGGCAAAGCAAGAGATTCCTGCCTCAGCACTGGCAAAGAGATCCCTGCAATCCCTTTCTGATCAGCCACTGGATTCCCCCTCAGTCTGTGGGCCAGAAGCTCATGAAGCAGCTGCCCCCCCAGGACCATGCTGTTGAGGAATGGCGCTGAGACCCCGCCTTCCTTTCTCAGCACAGACAGAAACAGACTTTTCCCACTGACCTTCTAAGTTGTCTTTGGCATTAGTGGATTGAGGAGTCTGGAAACCTTCACAGCTGCCCGTGATTCATTCCTCTGAGGCCTGCTCCAGGTTCACTGCAGCCTGCGCACCCACGCTGTGCTCCCAGCCTGGCGTGATACACCTTTCTGATCAATCATCCAGGGTGTCTTGGGCCAGAAGTTTGTTTCAATCTGTATTTTTGTGGGTTCTGCTTCTTCAGAATTTGTTTAGAGCCATTTTTTATGAGTATTTGGAGTGGTTTGGGGGAGAGCTTAAGCAAGTCACTGCTTTCACTCTGCCATCTTGGCTCCGCCCCCCTGGAACTAATTTTACCAATGAAATCACAGATCCAGTAAAACAAGAAGTAAATATGTTTTAAAAATAAGTGAGAACGCCAAGTATGAAAATTTTGAATCTAATTATTATAAGATATGGTTTAACATAATTATGTTGTCAAGAAAAATGTTTACAATTGTAGAAGTAGATAAACTGTATATTTTTAGTTTTGGGGTAAAAACATCTATTCCCCAGAAGAGTTTTCTTTGAGACCAAGGAAACAGAACTACAGGGTCCTGTAAATAGAGACAGACCCTCAGGCTGAATTCTATTCTCTTCCATACTGACAACTAAGAGATAAATCTGATTGATTCTACTTTCTTAGAAATTTTCTGTAACACCAGGATATTCTGATAAGATTAACTACAAGGGGCAGCTAGGTGGCGCAGTAGACAGAGCACCGGCCATGGATTCAGGAGTACCTGAGTTCAAATCTGACCGCAGACACATAATACTAGCTGTGTGACCCTGGGCAAGTCACTTAACCCCATTGCCAAACTGAAAAAAACCAATAAGATTAACTACAGAAAAAAAAATCCCATTGGAACAAATCTGATCTTTGGCATTCTGAGACCCCAAGTTAACATATTGTCCCCCAAATCACCTAATATCTCATCCCTATTACTCAGTCTCCCAAATAAGGAAAGTGGCTGAGCAGCCTCACCTGACAGACTCCTTTTGCCACATGTAATGATGCCCTAAGGCTGTGTAAAACTCTATTTGTGTGTTTCTTACTTTGCTATAGTGTAGCTCTGCCATCAGCTGATGCTAATTAAACCTTTTATCTTCTAGCTTGGCCTCCTGATTTATTGACCTCTAGTTAAATGGACCAAGGTGGGAGGAATTACTCTCCAGGAGGATTTTAGGGCCTAGGATTTGAGGAATTCCCGGCCAAATACATATTTCACAACCATCTGATTGTCAGGTAGGTGAGCACTTGTATATTTTGTGTTAAGCACTGTGCTAAATGCTGGGAATACAAAGAAATGGAAAAAAAATCCTTACTTTCAAGAAGCTTACAGTCTAATGAAGGGACAACATGTACAAACAAGATAAATAAAAGACAAATTGTAGAAAATTAACAGCAGGAAGGCACTAGAACTAAGATTGGGGAAAACTTCTTGCAGAGTGGGATTTTAGCTGAGACTTGAGGAAATCCAGGGAAGTTAGGAGTCAGAGGTGAGGAGGGAGAGAGTTCCAGACTTGGGGGACAAGAAGTGAAAATGCCTGGAGTTGGGATATGGAGTTTCTAATTGGAGGAACAGCAAGGAGGCTACTGTCCGTGGGTAATATCATACATAGTGGTGGTGGTGGTGGGGTATGTATACATAAAGAATAAGAAAATTGGAAAGGTGGGAAAGAAGCAGGTTATGGAGGGCTTTACAAGCCAAACAAAGGATTTCATATTTGAACTTGGAGGCAAGGGAGACATTAGAGTTGACGGATAAGAGGAAGTGACATGGTCAAAATTCCTCTTTAGGAAGAACAATTTGACAGCTGAGTGGAGGATGGACTGGTGTGGGAAAGATTTCAGGCATTTTCTTTTGCAGTAGTTCAGATGTGAGATAATAAGGGCCTGGATCAGATGGTAGCGATGCCAAAGAAGAGAAGGGGAAAGTATATGAGAGATGTTGTTAAGACAGAAACAATGGAACTTGGAAACTTATTGTGTATTGGGGATGAGAGAACTCGTAGGCAAGAAAGGGGCTGGCAAGGTGGAGGAATGTTACAGAGTCAGAAGCTGCTGATGCATAGTGATGAAGTCTGGAGTGTCAAAAGCACAGCTGGGAGGGGATTGGATGGCTCCTGAGGAGTTTGCTACCTTAGAATAAGGTTTTATTGATACCTTTTGTTTATCATACCACAGACCCCATCCTGACCTTCCCCAAACTCCATATTCCTTGTCACATAGAAAAACAATTAAGGAAAAGTTTGGGGACCAGATCTACCCATCTAGTGATCCCAGGGTTTGCTTTTCTATTCTCTCCTATTCTTCCATTTCACTTATTTCTAGTTCTCTGTCTATTGCAGGTTTCTAACTATCAACCTGGGCAACAGTGCTTAAGAAAATAATAAATACCTCTACCTATGCCTATCTGTAATAAACCTCATAGTATTCATGGTATATGGTGAATGATATTAGTTCTCATCTCTTAACTAAAAGTTAACTTGTTTAGACACCATACCATGGAATATTATTTAAATATGAAACCACTTAGTGGTTTTAGTGATTAAAACAGTGTAAGTTTTACAATATAAATTAGTTCAGATGAGAAAGGTTAATATATCTAAAATCAATGTCTACCATTATCTACTTCTGGCTTTGCAGAGCACATCAATATATCCTTCAGACCCTCCCAGTATACTTCTCCTATCCTCTAGATATTTATATCATTCATGAATAAGATAAAAGAAAAGGTCATGTTAACTATAGAAACTGATTTCCAAAGGACATAGATAAGTTTTTGTTGTTGTGTCATTTCAGTTGTATCTGACTCTCCATAACCCCATTTGGGGTTCTCATGGTTTTTTTTTTAAAGGCAATAAGGTAATTCTATTTAAACCAATGCAAAGAATGGAAGAGATAAATTAATTTTGGATTTTCAGGTATTGTTAAACCAAAAGCTTTGTAATTAGCTAATATCTAGTAGAATTTAGTTAGGACTTTACGTTTTACAAAGAGCTTTATATATGTTATGTCATTTGATTCTTATAACAAAATGGTTAAGTAGGTTTTATTTTTAACCCCCATTTGACAGATGAAGAAACTGAGGTTTTAAGTGATTTACTCGGAGCTTAAGTGACTTGCCCAGAGTTACACAGCTGGTAAGCTTCTGGGGCAGGGTTTAAACTCAGGTCTTCCTAACTCCCAAGTCCCAACTATCTATCCATTGCACAACTTTCTTCCTCATGGGTCATGTCTGGTTTAATTTAATTACTAATATTTCTTTCTTAAAGTGGCCTGTCTTATAGGGGGTTGGAAGTTTTGTGAGAAGGGAATACAATGATTGAGCTCCCCTCCTTAGGGCAACAAATACAGCAGACATCATCCTTAGGAACAGATGAGCAACAACAGTGGCAGAGGGATTTGTGGAAGGAGATTAACGCCTTCTCTTTTATAAACGTGAAGAAACCATTTGAAAGATATCCCAGTCTGAAACCTTCAGGCTAATCTGAAAGTGAAACCTTGATCAATTTTTCTCTTCTTTCTCTCTCATCCTAAACAATGTCCTGCTCCCCCCTCCTCCTACTCCTCCCCCACTCCTGGACTGACCAGTCTAGGAAAGACTTCTCTCTTAGAGTAATTTGAGTGGTGACTAGACAATTGACAAAGGGCTCTTGATTGATCTACCTAAGAGCAATAGCCTCTTTCCCCATTTCCTGAAGGTGTTATGGCATTGATCAGAAGAGAAAATCTCTTTCTTTGCTTCAGGTCAAGAGTAACCAGCTGGGAGCTGGGAAGAGCTCTTGAGTGTAGTGGTCATAGAAGAATTAACTCATTTTAGGAAAATGGTTCTCCAAGATTCTCCAAAATGATTCTTCAAAAGATTCTCCAAGAGTCTAAGTATTATTATTTTGGACTGATGAAGTAAAGTGTTAAATTTGACCTTACCCTGAGTTATGTAACTTATGTTTTATCATACTGTGAAATTTACTTATTCGAGAATTCTATAAATGTTACTTTAAAATGTCTTATTTTAGAAAGATATCTGAAGGCATGAGGGAACTCTGCCAATTTGGACTTTTCTCCCTAAACTAGAAAAAATGTTTGGATTAGAATGACGATAAATTAATAAGAATTGCTTCTGGCAGGCGTATGCCTAAAACAAAGAGTAAAGTATTAATATTTTGTTTTCCACAGATGTATCGATATAAAGGTAAGTAAGAAGTCTTTGAGGAGCAGTAGCAGTGAATATAAAGGTGGCAGAGACTTTTAAGAGAAAGCATGGTTGGGAATGGGGTGGGGTGGGAAAGAAATGAACCAATCACCTTTGATGTTAGCATTTGATGTGGGAGAGTTTTTGTTTTGTCTGCAGTAGGTATGTGTCAGCTGAAAGCTGCGAAGAAATGGGTAGTGAGCCTTCAAGACATCTAATGGGTATCTCCACATGGAGTGTGAAGGGGAAAAGGAATACAACATTGGGGTGGGGAAGGGAAAGGAAAGGTGGAGGAATTATTTTACATAATTTGAGTGAATAAGTAGATGATTATACAAACAAGGAGGAATGACATAAACATGCCATTCTTGATCTCTTGGCACAATAATTGGGTTTCAGGAATTGAGGCTGTTCCCAAATGATTGATTAGGATTCTGGAGAAGATGGATTCTTTTAAGGCAGGTAGTGATGAAGTGGATAGGGGCCTAGAGTAAGGAAGATCTGAGTTCAAATATGGCCTCAGACACTTACTAGCTATGTGACCCTGGGCAAGTCCCTTAACCTCTGTCTGCCTCAGTTTCCTCATCTGTAAAATGGGGATAATAATAGCACCTACTTCCCAGCATTGTGGTAAAGATCAAGTGAGATCATTGAAAATGGTTTAGTATGGTTCCTGGAACATACTACTATGTAAATGTTATTGTTGTTATTGTTCTGAGCCTCAGTTTCTCATATGTAGAATGAACAAAGTGAAAATAGAAAAAAGAAACCCCAAACCAAAACCTCCTAGGAACATTATAGCAAAAAACTAGAGCTTTCAGGTCAAATAGAAAGTATTGTAAGCAGCCAGAAGAAAAGAATTAAACTACTAAGGAGTCACAGTTAGGATCACACAAAATTTAGCAGCAGCCACCATCATGAGGCAGAGATCTGGGTATAAGCTATATCAAAAGGTAAAATATATAGACTTACAACCAGGGATAACATACCCATCAAAACTTAGTATAATCCTAGAGGGGAAAAATAGGCTTTTAACTACACAGGGGACTTCCAAGCCTTCTTGATAAAAAAAATCCAGTTGCATAGAAACTTCGATATATAAACATGGAAATTTTTTGGGAGTTTTGCAAAAGCTGCAGATGACACATGAAGGGCAGAAGACAACACAGAAAAATAAGAGTAAGGCTATCATTATAGAGCAAGTTCGTGATAATTTGGTACAAACTGCAGATACAAATACATTTAATCATTCTCATCTTTCCCTCTCTTCTCTGACTTCATTGCTATCCACTTGTGATTGGAGCAATTGCCATGGGGAAGTTAAAGAAAGATGGTCATTAAGTATTGCTTTATCATGGAAATCAAGGGCATCATTTCCTGAAATGATGACATTTCCTTCCCTTTTCTTTTTTATTATTCTAATGTTACTTATTGTCATGTACGCATGAGCTCCCTGCTAACGTTCACTCTGTACTTTCCCCTACCCCATTTCAGAAAACATTCAGTTTTCTGTTTGTTCTGTTCTATGTGATTCAGTTATGTTATATATAATTAAGTCTGATTTTATAACTTCATCATTATTTTTTGTTCTGCTAATATATATCACTGTTGGGAGGGGAAGGGGGAGACTAGGGCACAAGTCACTTCATTGTCATCCCCCCAACCCTGCCAGGGTTCAGTACACAGTGTGCAACTCTTCGGCTGCACATTGCCTTACCACTCAGAGGCTCCCTCCTATATATATATATATATATATATATGTATATACTAACAGAAATTACTCTCATACTGGCCTTATTTATTCTCATTCCACTCTCCTTGGATTGCTGTTCCATCATTCTCTCCTATAAACACATTGTATCATTCTCATGCTAAAATGACTTTCTACTCCCATTACGATTTTCTCTCCATATACTGGCTCTGTCACTCCAAATACAAAAAATTTCAACCCACACTCTTTTTGCCATTTCTAGGGCAGCCTTGCTCCACTCCATGAACAAACAACAGCCCTGAGGCTATGTCCTGATGCTCTAAAATAGGCCCAAGG